TTCCTCAAGTACACAGGGTTGTCCCAGCTCCCAAAGTCCTCTGACTCCCGTCCTGTGAATCCCAAGATCCCTCCTCTTTCACTGCACTTACATTCACAACCTGTGGGCCCCAGACTCTGTCCTCCTCAAAGGGCTCTGAGAGCCGAGCTTACTGCCTGAGTCACACCTGAGACCCCACGAGGCCTCTAGGTCAAGTGACATACTTCTAAATCAAACAGGCCTAATCAGAAGCGAGGTAGGACATACGCTTACCAGACAATCTCTGTTCAAACCATCTGAGCATGATGAAAGACATGAGCAGTGTTTTTTAATCTAGAGAGAGCAGAACAGAACTGACTGTAGTGGAGGACAACTTTCCTATGAGTGATTTTTGGGGGATGTTCCTCAAAAAAAAAAAAAAGAGAGAGAGAGAGAGACTAAGACATTTGACAAATAGAAACCCCTAAGAGAGTCAACAACTGATGTCAGCTTGTTAAAATCTTCAAGAAGTTGTGCCTTAAAGAATCAGATTTTTTCTCGTGTTAGCCATGTATTTCCTCCAAATTATTTAACCACACAAGAGCGTAAGCCTTCTAAGGGATAGCACTTTATATTGTCCATCTTTGTACCCCCCTGGATCTAGTTTTTCTCTGGAACTTAGATGGCAGACAACTAAATACATTTCAAATAGAATTATCACATCAGATCCCCACAGGAATGACCTCTGCAGAGGCTTGTGACATACTGCTCTTTAACTCTGCTGAATTTATAACAGGGAAGAGATAGCAAAACAGAACGAAGAACTTCACGGCAGCTAAGTTGAGTGATTCAGGGCACTGGGTGTATGAGGAAATAATAGCAAATCCCATTTCTTTGAATCCTGCACTGCCAAGCACAGAAGCAAAGAAAAGGACAAGATGACCCTCTGGAGGTCTGAATTTCTCATGAAGTTCAGAAAACTCTTCATGAGTCGAACCCCTGCTTTCTCCCCTAGAGCACTACCCATGCTCTCTCCCCACTTTTTAAAAAAATTTTTGGCTGTGTGGGCTCATAGTTCCCTGACTAGGGATTGAACCTGCACCCCCTGCACAGAAGCAGAGTCTTAACCACTAGACCACCAGGGAAGTCCCTCTCTCCCCCACTTTTGAGCCTTTGGTATAGGAAGGGGACAAATGCATTCAAACTCCCACATCAGTGATTTGCAGAAACAGACCCAGTGGAAAATGGGTGCTCGCAAACCCCACAGTCTGAAAACAGAGAAAGCTGAGAACTGAGATGGAAGCAACTGGCTTGCATCTGGGCTGGGGCAGAGGGGTCCAGCTGCTTGGCCCAGAGCAGCGGCTGTGAGCAGCAGCTTGTCCATCTTGGGACAGTCTTGCTGGGCAGCTGTCCTGGCTCTGCCCCAGGTCTGGCTGGGCTGTCTGCCAACTAGCTCTCAATCTGGCAGCTTCAGAACTTTTTCCCAACCCCGCTCAGCTGTTTAATGGACACCTCAGTGCTAGGAAACTGTTCTTACTTCTCAGTGTTATCAGGTTACATGTCTGGAGGACAATATCATTCAAAGGCCATTTTTACTTAGCTTTGCATTGGATAATGTTTTGTTCCCTAACACATTATCTCTTGCCTTTCTAAGATTTCTTACCAAAGATCTCTCACTTAATATTTTCATTTTCTGTAAGAAACCACACATAGGTACATGCTGCTGCTGCTGCTGCTGTCGCTTCAGTCGTGTCTGACTCTGTGAGACCCCATAGACGGCAGCCCACCAGGCTCCCCCGTCCCTGGGATTCTCCAGGCAAGAACACTGGACTGGGTTGCCATCCTTCTCCAATGCATGAAAGTGAAAATTGAAAGTAAAGTCGCTCAGTCGTGCCTGACTCCTAGCGACCCCATTGACTGCAGCCTACCAGGCTCCTCCGTCCATGGGATTTCCCAGCAAGAGTACCGGCGTGCGCTGCCGTTGCCTTCTCCATATGGGTACATGAGAGGAGAGTAAAAGTATCTGTAGATTTCTAGAGCCAAGAGAATCTTACAACATCTTTCTCTATTTGTCGAAAAGGAAGCTGATAGCCAGAGAAACTGAGAAACCATCATATAGCTAGTGTTAAAGCCAGATGGCTTTTTTACTCCCAGTTCAGTGTTTCTGCTAAGTTTCATAAAGCATAAGGGAGGTCACCCTAGAATGACAAGTTGGCCATGTGATAAGGCGTTAAACTACTGAATCGCATGGGCAGTAGAGAGATAAGTCCACATATCAGATAGTTTAAGGGTTTTTATTTTTAACCAGGAGGGCGGAAAAAAAAAAAAGAGAAAACTCTCCTAAAAACCTCCTGAAATCTTGAACTACGTCTAGGCAGAAAAAGGACAATTGGTCAACGTTTCAGGAAGCCCATGGAATATATGATGAGAGAACTTGACAGAGTCAAGATATAGAGGCTCCATCTCTGGATGGAGCTCCCCTGGAGAAGAAAATGACTACCAACTCCGGTATTCTTCCCTGGAGAATTCCATGGAGAGAGGAACCCGGTGGGCTACAGTCCAAGGGGTCGCAAAGAGTCGGACACAACTGAAAGACTGAACACACACACACACACACACACACACACACACACAATTTTATCAGAGGACATAGGAAGGGTAGATGAGAGGGAGAGAAAGAAATACTCTACAATTGAGGAAGAAGACAAACATAGAATACTCTGGACTTCTTTGTCTTCCTAGGGATCATACAGCAGCATCTTTGTCTTTCAGCAATTGCTTTTAAAGAAGAAAACATTTATTTAAAAAATCACAGACCTGTTTTTAATTAACAAAAAAAAACTCTCAAAATTTGCTTGTGAAATGAATTTTTGTGAAATGAAAATTTGCTTCTTTAATACTCATTAATACTCATAATACTCATAATTTAATACTCACAATACTCATAATTTAATACTCATAATATTCAAGGTCACTTAGGTGGCTGCAGGGACTAGAGTTTTCCTAGAGTTTTGCAACTAGTCCTTAGGAAGAGTATCTCCATTTTGCAGATAGGAAGTTGAGGCCTGGCAGTGTTAGTTAATGTGTTCAGGGCTTCCCTGGTGGCTGAGTAGTAGAGAATCTGCCTGCAGCGCAAGAGACTCGGGTTCCATCCCTGGGTCGGGAAGACTGGAGGAGGGCATGGCAACCCACTCCAGTGTTCTTGCCTGGAGAATCCCATGGACAGAGGAGCCTGGTGGGCTACAGTCCATGCGGGTCGCAAAAGAGTTGGACGTGACTCACTGACTAAACATCAACAGACAACATAGAAGTGTACTTTCCTTGTCCCCAACATGTTGAAAATAACAGTTAGGGGAAGTCGTGAATTTTGGAAACTTGAGGTTAAAAACAATTTTAAGACTTCCATTAGTTTTTGTAGTTAATTTGTTCAGGGGAAAAAGAAATAGTGTTAAAGAGACCAAGGGATTGCTAGATTTGGTTTTTTACTTGTGGATTTTGTGTTAATTCTCTGAAAGGTTTATACTTAGCATCTGCTATATACTGGGGATGGAGAAGGCAATGGCAGCCCACTCCAGTGTTCTTGCCTGGAGAATCCCATGGACGGGGAAGCCTAGTGGGCTGCAGTCCATGGGGCCTCTATGAGTCAGACACGACTGAGCAACTTCACTTTCATGCATTGGAGAAGGAAATGGCAGCCCACTCCAGTGTTCTTGCCTGGAGAATCCCATGGACAGGGAAGCCTGGTGGGCTGCCGTCTATGGGGTCACACAGAGTCGGACACGACTGAAGAGACTTAGCAGCAGCAGCAGCGTATACTGGGGAAAGAGGTTAGACATTTTTATCCCTACATGTATATGAATGTATTGTGTATGTCTGTGTGTATTAAACAGAGAGAGAGAATTATTATTTTAATCCTACTTATCTTTGAAGAAAATAATATTTAGAGAAGTTAATTTGCTGAGCAGAAACTTAGGCTTCTTTCTATGACATTATAACTATATTGTGAATATCCAATGAAGCTGTCCCACTGGCAATTGGAAATAAAGTTTGGCAACATGGGAAAAAGAAATCCAGCTGTATTTATAGCCATAAAATTGGGAAGAAAAGAATGAACAGATGAAAGTCAGTCCTAGCAGTACCTCAAAGGTGTGTCTCATATGATAAACATTATGATAAATATCTGTAAGTAAATGACACAGGAAAGGAAAAGAATCAGGACCGGAAAGAGAAATAGGAGATAACTTGGTACAACATCAAAGAAGAAAGAGTATCAGGAGATATTGCAGAGATGGGGTGAGGGATCATCAAGGATAATGAATGCTGGTCAGAAGTGAAAGCGACAGAGGTATGGAAGAAAATCTAGAGTCTAATAAGTGTTCTTGAAACTGAAAGCCAGTAAATAGAAGACATTTCCAGGGTGTGACAGATTTGGGGGTGAGAAATCAATCAGTTATTTAACAAGAAACACTTTGAATTTGTTTGAGCAAAAAATAAAACATTAAGAAGTCAACACAGAGAAACAGTTTCTTAACAATGGTGCAGTATTTGAAAACAAGCTTCTGGGGACTTCATGAGCATGTGAGTTATGAAAACAGATGCACTCTGGCTTAGAGCCCTCTTCAGTTTGTGATGGGGCTGTAAGCATCTTCTCAAAAATAAAAGAGATCATTTTGGGGAGAGAGCATTACCATTTTTAGACACTTCTGCTGAGGACAGAAGCTTTATGTGAGGCAACAGAATTATTTGAGGCAGTTACATGATTAGAAGACTTTTCCTATACACATCCTTCAGTGCGCTGTACCTTCCCCTTAATAAGAAAAGATCTGTTGTCTCGGAAAGACCAACGCAGCTCTTGACGGGAAGGGCTCCTTACTGGTGAGCTCCGGAGATCTCAGATATTTTGTTCTACTGTCAGTCTGCCGAGCTAAACAGAGGATGTGGCTGGGGTAGGAGGCGGGGACTATGCATATGTGTGTGTGTGTGTATGTGTGTATGAGTGTTTTCTCATTTCCGCTTCCCCTTTCAAACTGGCAAAAGCAGTTTCATGAAGACAGAGAGAAAGGTGCGATATGCAATATGATACCTTCTCCCTGTCCTCACCTCCGTCCCAAAACGGGGGAAGGGCAGTGCCCAGCACTGACAACTGCATTGCCTCAAACTCAGCTCCCAACCCTTGGACAGGTGAGTACAACTTCCACCTCAGTTTTAAGATTGTGCTGACTTAGAATGGTGCCAGGAGATAGGGAACTTCCCTGGTGGTTCAGCGGTAAAGAATCCATCTGCAATAAAGGAGACTGGGTTCGATCCCTGGGTCAGGAATATCCCCTGGAGTAGGAAATGACAACCCACTCCAGTATTTTTACCTAGAAAATTCCATGAACAGAGAAGCCTGGAGGGCTACTGTTCATGGGGTCGCAAAAGAGTCAGACATAGCTTGGCGACTAAACAGTAACAGGAGAGAGGGGGAAACAAGTCAGAGAAAAATCAGGCTGCAGAGAAAAGGGAAACATCAGGAGAAAAACTCCCACATCCCTGACTTCAACCTTAAGAAATGCATCACTGTGCCTTTTAGAACATGGTCTCTTTGCTTTTTTTTTTTTCCTTCCTATTGTCAGAGAGGTACTCTTGGCAGGGTCATAAAACACGGGTTCCTTTGATGACCTGGATTAGTATTTAGGAATTCTTTCTCACCTGAGAAATTCTCTCTGTGTTCTGCTGTCCTTACTTTTGCTTCATTTCAGTCTGATTCTAGCTTTAAAAAGTTCTCAAGGAGAAAATTTCTTCACTTCATCCGCTCTAGTGTTCATAACTCTGACTCGCGAGAGTACCTAGCCTAAGTCGATTTTGCTTTTTGTGGCTATATCCTCTTTCTTCAAAAGCTGCAGAAGGAGATTGGTGAGGAGATAAGCTATAGCAATATATGCTTGGGTGAGAGGAGAATTTATACAACTGGACAACACTGGACCAAATCTACTGGGAGGCCCAAGATCGATAACCACCTCTCAGGTTGGTGTTCAAGCCGTACACCTCAGAGACGGACTGATGAATATATTGATCCCTTAATGATCTATGTAATCCTGAGTGAGGAGGGGGTCTGCTCTTCCGATACATCTGGTCTCAGCAGTAGCCAGGCTGAGCACGTCACCACCTGCATGAGTTTGGGGGAAGGTGGAGGAGTGGGCTGGGGTTTTCCCATGCCTTGCTTGCTACTGAATCCACCAGTGGGTGGAGGAGCAGAGGTGGGTCCCCCGTGCAGAACAAGGACAAGATGAAAGAGCCCCCCAGAAGGGATTTGAGGAGATCATGAGGGTTTGGATGAAAGCCTCAGTGACTCCGTCTACCACAAATGGCCCTGAATAGAGAGAAAAGAGAACTTTCTCGACTTCTAGACAATACACGGTGGTACCCAGGATAGGAGATTGGCAGTTGCAGGATTTCAACTTTTTTGTCTAAGCTTGTTAATAGGCTTGAGTGATTAGACCTAAAGATCTGGTATAATTTTCCTATCACTTGAAGCATTATTATGAGGAGGGTAAGTCAGGTTTATTATCTGTCTCTACTGAGAATATCATCAGAGATAACCAGCTGAAGCTATCACAAGAGGGATAGAAAGAGGTTTTACAAATGGTTACTTATTCACAGACACCCCAAGGAGTTCAGAAATTCTTTCCAACTGTACTAATAACTTTTTCTCATAACTCCTTTGCTCCACTGAAACTTAGATGGAGTCCAGTGATTAAACATAATGTAGTGGCCATGGAGACCCAACAGAGTCATTTTGATTCATGATTCATATTCTATTAGAAAAAGGAGAGGAAACTTATTCTCAGCCCAGATCATGATTCACACAATAAGAGAAAAAGATCCGACATCTATCTCCACTTGATAACTGCGAAATGTTTGCTGCCTAAAGGACAAGACCAAGGTTGGTATTCCAGTACCCATGGTACTACTGTGGGTCTGGCCCATACCTGGGCCTACTGCAAAAAGCTTGAACACAGATTTTGAGATGATGAAGAGAGGGTGTAGATATTGTGAAAGAAAAAGAAGAGTAAATGTGAGTACCTGAAGGACAGAGTTTCATTACCAAGGAAATAATATTGAGGCATTAAAGATTGTAATTCACAGAACTAAGTTGATGATCAAGACATCTGTTCATTCTCACTCCTGTTTCTAGACTGAACTACCTGTAAACCAGTCTAAATGAACTGACGCCTCTTATTCTTGATGCCTGATGATAACCCATCCAGAGGAAAGAAATTAGTGTCTCTCAACATGAACAGCTCAAGATTCCTTTTTTCCAAAAGTACAACTTTAGCAAAGAAGAGAGAAAAAGAGTCTGTAGATGGTCTTCTTCAGGATGCATTCAACTAAGCTTATTTGTGGGTGGGGGGGGGGAGGAGGAAATGAGAAAAGAAGGGGAGAAGAGTTCTAAAAGTGAATAGGCATTTTTCTTGGTTTTATTTATCAAATAGCATCCTTCTTCTCTCCTTGAATAGATCGAACTGCTGCCTTAGACCACAAGAAGTCTCAAATGCAAAAATCCTGCACTCAGGGTAATTTTTGTTCTGATGGTCTTCAAACAGCAGTGACATGGGAAAGGGTTACAGATTGGGAAGGCATTGCCTGCCTGTGAAGGAACATGAAAGCCTGTGGCGGGGGTTGGGGTATGGAGAATGGCGGGCTGTCAGCCTGGCTTGAGGTGGAGTTTGTCCTATTCAAAAACTGAGAAATTGGCTGTCCTGGGATTTCCCACAATCCCTTACAACAGTGGTGATGTCTGTCTTGGCTGTGACCGGAGATAAGATGTACCCATTGTGGAAGGTCTTACAGGCCCCATCATGGAAACTCCGTTTCCTTTTTCTCTCCTCCCACGCTTGTTTTCACTCTCAGTCCAATTCACAGGCACTGCTCGGGGTGTAGGCACAATTCAGATAGAAGAGAAGAGAGGCCTGTCTGATACTGTCCCAGGAGGAGGCCCAGAGTGCTGAAGAGAAAACCCGGGCTGGGCCTTAGAAACCACGAGTGGAGGCGGAGGGCTGCGCAATGCGAGGGAGACGCTCACACCTGGGGCTCAGGGCTCCTGTCTGTTCCGCTGCTAACAGTCGCTGCTCTGGGTGACTCCAGATAAGCCTCTCTCTCTCTGTCAGTTTCCTTGACTACAAAATGAGGGATCAGGATTATATGGTCTCTCTGATCCCGATGAGTAGTAAGTAAGAACAAGGAACCTGTTTGCTGCTTATTTTTCATCTCTTCTTAACAGCATCGTCTTCCTTTCCTCCTCTGGATTTGACACGCTCTTCTGTACCCTGCCCCCTGGAGGAGGAAATCGCAACCCACTACAGCATTCTTGCCTGAGAACCCCATGGACAGAGGAGCCTAGCGGGCTATAGACTGTGGGGTCGCAAAGAGTCAGGAATGGCTGATCACAAACACATCTCTACCCTACTGCCCGCTTCTTGTTCCTTCTTTCCTTATTCCTGAAAATGTCCCAACTTTAGTGAATGATTTAGACCGAGGGAAAATTAATAATGATAATAACTATATTTATTAAGCACCTCCTTTATACATCGGGGACTTAATATGCATTATCTGATTTTTAAATCCCAATAACCCAACAAGTCTGGCACTCTGTCTGTTTTATATATGAAAAAATTTAGGCTTAGAGAGAACAAGGAATTTCACCAAGGACACATACACAGTAAGTAGACAGAGCTGTGATTTCAAACAAGGTTTATTCTGACTTCACAGCACACATCCTTTCCACAGTTTTCCTTCTCAAGAGTTGACCATTCTTCCTAAACCCCTTCAAAACATCCCCATAGTAAGATATAACTGGAGCTGATATTTGGCAGGTTCAGATTGGTAGGCTATAATGGTTGTTAAAATATTAAAATATGTTCATATCAAATTTTGATAAATATTCATTGTTTCAAGCCCTCTGAATGCCCATCACTAACTCAGCTATCCCAGTGCTTCCTACAAGACTCCCCAGATGGCACCAAAAATTCAGTGCCATGCTAGCCATAGCACTTGTGAGACCCAGTCCAAGGACTCCGACTGGTGTCACCTCTGATTTTCCTGTGCTGCTAAATGTTCTGAATGCTACAACCATCGAAAAGTCATGTGAGATTTCAGGCAAACTCTCCTCTAAAGTAGAACCTAGGGTCTTGACTGCTATTAACCAAAGTAACTCTTCTTTTGCTAAGATGATAACAAAGTTGAGCCAAAATTACTTTTGGTTTATCTGCCTCCTCAGTACTAGATTATCAGATGGAGAGTTTATGTAGCATGATGTGGAATAGAATATTTACTAACATAGTTTCTCTTTTCTTTTATCCTAAATTGCATTTACTGCTGACATCTACATGGTGATCTTAGGTTATTCTCATATTCTAGATGTGCAAAGATGATACAACTAGAGTTAGATCAATGTGAGTTTAAATCTCAGTACGACAAGATCTTAAATATATGACCTTGGATCACTCACATATCACTCTGAGCTTCAGATAATAATAATTAGCTCCAAGGAGATTGTTAGTAGTTTGTGGGGAAGTTTTAGGGGTAAATATAAGGAATTCTGTACATCTCGGTTATTATGAATACCTATTGCTTTGACTTTGCCCATGTTAATATTAGGTGAATCTCAGACTATATTCCTTAGAAAAGAGATACTGGAAGTAAGTGATGATCTCAGTGTAGTAAAAATCACATACCCATAAAAGATTTTCTCTGCTACAAAAGTTACTGCTTCTGCTGATGATTTTGGTTGGGAGATATTCCTTTCAAAGATTTTAAACAACTCCCTAGTCTTAAACCACGAATGGTTATTCTTCTTGTCTAACTTCAATCCTATCTGCTGAAATTTTTTCTTTTAACTGTAACATCCTCAGAACAAAGAGAATTTACTTCTTCTCTGTTTGGTTGTAGTCAGTTTCCAGAACACTCAACAGATGATGGTGAAATATTTGAGGAGTAAACCTCTAGAGAAATGTAGGGAAGGCAAAGACAAAAACTGAAAATGGTAGCAGAAAGGGAAAGAAGACTTTGGAGTGATTTAGGCAAGTAGCAATAAAACCAGTGTGGCATTTTTGTTGTTTTGGGGGGTGGGGGGTGGGGGGAGATGATTAATGGAAATGTCAGAGAAAATTTATCAGACATCCATCCTTACAGAAGATAGA